CCCTGTGCATTTATTTTGGCTCTTGAAACATGTTCTAGCCTCCAGGATACTGATGTGGTGCCTCTGTTTGGTCTTCAGATAAAATTGTTTGTATTCAATTTCTGATGTGTTGTTGTAGTGATTATGGCGATACAGTCGTTGCTTTTCTTTCTGTTACTTCAAAAGGTGCCACTGGATACAATTGATTAGCTAATGATTCCAAATTGGGCCTTTTCTTCTGCTACCTTTGAGATTGTCGCTACTCATCCGCAGTATAATGACAACTCTTTACTATGACCACATTATCGAACTGGAGGGGGAGTGTAGTAGCACCATTAAATTTTCGACTAAGCTAAAAACTAAGAAATGAGGAAGGAAAGAAGTTAAAACTAGAAAAGAGAACTTGATGCTAGAAAAATGTAGTTCTTGGGGTTTGCCTTGGATTGGATATGTGTGCTATTGTGTTCATTGATCAGTGAACTTATTGGTTATGCAGTGCATTATTGAGAAGGTGAACAACTTCAAGCAACCGGGAGAGAGATACCGATCCTGGGCACCAGACAGGTACCTTTCGACCATTGTTTCCTTAGTAGATGTGTAGTTTACTGGACACTCAAATGTGTTCCAACTTTGTCACTAGGCAAGAGCGGTTTTTTGGCCGCTGGGTTGAGGCCTTATCTGACCCCCGTGTTACCCATGAGCTCCGCTCCATCTGGATCTCTTACTGGGCTCAGGTGAGCTATAATTATTCGCCGGTTTTGCTTTCTCTGATTCTACAGAAATTTGTTCAGTGTTTACCTGGAAATTGAGAACGTCTTTCTAAAACATGCTCTACGATAGTATGCTGATGGCCTATGATGCACCTCTGCTACAGGCTGACAAATCATTTGGTCAGAAGCTAGCTTCTTGTCTCAATGCCCGACCAAGTATGTGAATGTAGAGAGCTTGTCGCTACTTCGGAAGGAGCATAACAAGCGAAGTGTTGACATGCTTGTCTGCTGTGATGTATCGTAATAATACCAGAGGAGAACTTGTCATGCAACTCTGACCTGAGGTTTCTAATCCAATAAAGGCTGCCATTTTTTTTTTGACTGAAAAAAAAAATGGCTGCCATTTTACTTGCTAGCTTATTGCCTCTGAACTCCAATTTCATTATTGGCTAATATGAACTTGAGTCGGAATAGCAACATGTCTCTCCCTGTTCGATACTTCATCGAACGATTACTTCGTTGATCTGTCAACTAGCTGGGAAATTATTGAATCTTCTGACGGTATTAGTATGTGATTTATAGGATGTTCTTTATGGGGGAATCAAAATATACTATGCATATATGCTTGGGAGATTCTAGACTATATACATAAATTTATACTTTGCCTAACTAAATAAACAAGGAAGAAATTACCAAAAAAAATTCTTAAAACCTGTTATGTGGATCCCAATTTCAATTATAAATTTTTCAATTTTGCCAATTTAATCAGGAACCTTGTGATAATTTTTCCATATAGTCATTCTAACTAATTTTGATCAGAAATGCCGATGTAGAGGTCCAATCAATGCTGGCAATTTTACGTGACACCATTGGCGTCTGATGTGAAATTTTAGCAAAACCATGTCATTTTGCATACTTTTCTAAATTAATTTGAACTTTTCTTTTTTGTTTCTTCTTTTCTCTTTTCTATGTTCATCTTTAAGTTGCAATAATCTGTTAAGAAATATCATCATATCAAATTAAACATGTTCATAATTAGTAAAACTTCATCAACTTAATATTTCAACGGTGAAAAATATGGGGAAACAATAGTCTTTTTAGCTAGTGGTGTATAAACGAGTCGCATACAACATTAACCCGTTAATTTAAACGAGCTGTTCGGGTAAATTTCATGCCTAAGTGGGTGAATTCAAATGCGGCACAATTACTAATCATGTCTCATTGGTTAATACCAAACTAATCCCAACAGGGTTAGCCTCAATCAAAATCCATTAATTTCTTGTGTCGGCTTATCATTTCGTGGCAAAAATTACCACCCATCCCGATGAGCATCAACATATAAATTTTGTATGGAACTCGCTTAAACAACGGTTGTGGTAAGTCGAGAACACAAAAATCGGCCAAAAACTTTCTGCTTTTTATGGGAAAACAACGGATGAATCGAAATCCCCCGCCGTCTAAGGGATCACTCGGGAACTCCACAATGTCTTTCTTGTTTGTCTGGTCCTGTGATTTGATTCCTGGCCGCATTTGTTCATGTATTAATAAAGGAAAAGCACCGGAAAAGGAGCATTATTGCATCATCAGCCCTGAAACATGAGGATTGGAACTGGAGAGAATGTTCAACCCCACCAGGCAAAGAATTAAATAACACAGAATTGCTTTAGACCCTGCCCTACCCTACCCTACCCTACCCTACCCACTTAAAAAGAGAATGTTGATGTACATCGAAAATCAAATCCACTATTTTCCCTTTTCATTTTTTGTTTTTGGGAAAATGACAGAAATATTATTTACATTTTAGCCTAATATGCAATATGTTCCATAAATTTTTAATTTATTCAGTGTGATCCCTAAACTTTAGCCAATGTACAATATGATCCCTACACTTTTTTCAATTTGTTCAATATGGGCCATGTTTTTTTGGTTGTGTTCTATATGAAAATGTTTGATGTTGTCCATGAATTTGAATTACTGGAAGGACAATATTAAACATTATCATATAATAAAGGGACGGAGTTGAATATGCACTAAAAATTCATGGACCATATTAAACAAATTAAAAATTCATGAACCACATTGCACATTGGGCCAAAGTTCAGAAATCATTTGTGTCATTATTCCTTCATTTTTCACCACCATTGTCAAGAAAAATTAAGGCCCACTTGATGGATTGGTTAACCAAAAAGAATCCATCAATGATCCAATTCTTCATCTTTGCGATTTGATTATGCACAACTTGCCTCTTAAGTCCCATTATTGATTTTGTTTCTAGTCAATGAAACTTTTCTTGATCAGCACCCTTTTGCTTTCATCGTTTCTCCGAAGGATAAGATGCGTTTCTGCATATTTAATTCTCAAAAGGTGATCGATTTTCATCGACGGGAGAGCGATAAAATCAATATCGAATCACCGGATGTAGAAGATTGCATTTCATTGGGGAAATGTTGTCCGTAATCACGAGGTCACACCGAGATGTAAAGAATTAGTGTCGTAGTATTGCACACTAAGGGTACACATGGCAACGATTTTGTACTTAGGAACTGATTTTGCTCAGAAATGATTTTTTTTATTCGGTGCCCAGAAACTGATTCTGAGCATTTGAAGGCGTTTGGTAACGGCCCAAAATTTCCATTTTCTGGAATAGAAAAAGAACAGAAATGGGTTTGGTAACGGTACAAAATTTCTTTTTATTAATAATATTTTTAAATATTTAATATTTCTTTCTTTCTTTTTTCTTCTCCTCCTTCTTGGCCATGGATGGCCGGCGACCAGCCGCAGGCCGGGGCCGGTGAGGGCATCACGGCCCTCGTCGACCACAGGCAAGGGTCCCCCTCGTCGGCCTTTTCCAGCCCTCACCCGAGCCGGCGAGGGCCGCCCTCGAGGCTCACGGCCTGGGCGAGGGCGGCGGCGAAAATCCAGCCCTCGCCATATCCGATGAGGGCGGCCCTCGCTTGTGTGGCCGGTGGCCAGCCAGGCAAAAAGAATGAAGAAGAAGAAGAATGGGAAAGAAGAAGAAGAAAAAATTATTTCTTTTCCAATTCCGATTCTCATTCTCATAATCAAAAAGTTACTTTTTTTTTGCTTCTTGATTCTGTTCCAAAACTGATTCTGGAAATAATTTTTTGTAAATTTGTGCCCGGGAACAAAAAGTTTACCAAACAAATTTTTATTTCAAAATTGATTTTAAGAATAAAAGAACAGAAATTTTTACTATTTGACAAGTTGCCAAACGAGCCATAATTCTAAGTTGAATGAGTGGACACGGATCAGTCACTTCGGACATCTTTAACAAGATGACATTATATTCTTGGGTTAATACCACGAAAAACCCTAAACTGGTACACTTGTGACACATTTACCCTAAACTATTTTTTTGACCATAAAAAACCCCAAACTGGCACACCTGTGATAATTTTACCCTGAACTATTTTTTTGACCACCAAAAACCCCAAACTGGTACACTTGTGACAATTTTACCCCGAACTTATCACAAAAAACCCCAAACTGGTACATATGTGACAATTTTACCATGAATTAAAATTTTAATATTATTTTTTATTCTTTTCTTTTCTTTTTTTTTTCATCTTCAAACTCTGGCCGGTCGCCGGTCCGGCGACCGGCCAGAGGCAGAAGCCAGCGAGGGAGGCCCTCGCCGGCGTTGGGCGAGGGTTGTCCTCGCCGAATCCGCGCCGGGCGACCCTCGCCGGCGTCGGCGAGACGCCCTCGCCGGATCCGGCGAGGCGCCCTCGCCCGACGCAGCGAGGGTCGCCCCTCGCCCGACGCAGCGAGGGATACCGGCGAGGGCGGCCCTCGCCCGACGCCGGCGAGGGCGGCCCTCGCTGGCTTCCGCCTCTGGCCGGTCGCCGGACCGGCGACCGGCCAGAGGTTGTAGGTGAAGGAAAAAAAAAAGAAAAGAAAAGAAAAGAAAAAAGAAAAAATTCAAAAAAATAAAAAATAATATTAAAAATTAGTTCGGGATAAAATTGTCATATGTGTACCAGTTTAGGGTTTTTTGTGGTATGTTTGGGGTAAAATTGTCACAGATATACCAGTTTGGAGTTTTTTATGGTCAAAAAAATAATTTGAGGTAAATGTGTCACAAATGTATCAGTTTAAGGTTTTTCGTGATATTAACCCTGTATTCTTTGACATTTCCAGACTAGGAAAAAGGAAAGTACCATCGGTCATCTTTGAGGTTGCACTCAGTCATTGTCAACACCTCCTTTTTTCTTTTTCCTTCTTCTTCAAGGACAATTGAAGGACCTTTCTTCTTTTAACCAAATCGGTGTAAAGTCTGGGTCTGATGGCTGACTAACGATAAAGATTCCATCTTTGTCGAATTCCGGTGGTGGAAAAGATGGGTTTGAAGTTTGAACACTCTTTCTTCAATCTTTATCCGTCCGTCCTCGTTGATGATGATTGTTGTGTGTGAAGAAGGATTGATCAAGATTTTCAGATAAGAAGCTTTCCGAAACAGGGGAACAAAAGAATTTGGAAAAAAGAAAACACAGATCCTGTTTGAAGGAAGACCTTGCAGCTAGTACATGTTCCCTATTACACACACATTCTCTCTCTCTCTCTCGTAGGTATAAATGGTTTTGTGTTTAGCTGCCGAAGTTGGGATATAAGCTGGCGCACCTCCTCCAAAGCCACTTCTTTTTTGGAGCATTCTGATTCCGCCATATGAAAATAGCAATCCACCAGCATCAAACCAGATGATGTTCATCCTCTCTCGCTCTCTCTGTCTCTCTCTCTCTCTGGGGGGCTGTGAGTTGACTAAGTAGCGGGTACTCCAAAGTCCAAAGAGGCCTTGTTTCTTGTGTGGGGTCGCACCTCAGGAGCTAGGAGAATCTTGGGCTCGCACAATATCGAAGAATTCGTTGAGCGTTTGGAGACGCAGATAATTACTATGGCCAGAAGGGAGGTTCTTTCTTGTGCAGGGCATATCGGAACTTGAGGCACCCGGCTTTCTTTGGAGCTCTTTATCTTTTCCTCCTTTTCAATCAGATGAGATCTTGATTTCGCAAAAGTTTCTTGCTTGTGGGTACTTGAGGAGGAGAGCAGGAAAAAAATCGAAGAGAATTTTTAAGTCGCCCCTGTGAGAATCTCCTGGAATCTTTCTTTCATAGTGTGAGTTGCTTCTTTCTGTTTCATTTCCTTCTTCTGTTTTAGCTGTCGAGTCTGTTTATGTTGTAATTTACGTGGCTCGGATTCGTGGGGCTGATGGTTGGTGATGTGTCTGCTTTGGTTATCTGAGTCCTCAATGATGTTTTTGGAGGGCAGGAAAAATGAATCTCTCTTGTTGATGAATAGAGCTTGAATCAAATGATAGTAAATCAGCGGATTACTTCCGGAGAATATGTGGAAAAATGGCCTCATCTTCTCGTTTCTTTGCAATCCTTGTGATTCGCAGCTTGAACGTTGTAATTGTCCAAACACTTTATGAACCCAAGTTTTTTCCTTCTCAACAACAGCTGCTTTTATTCATGGTTCTCCTCAACTTGACTCCCATTGCATATGCATAAGATAGAAGCATGGATTTGTCTTAATTCGATGGATCTAAGAATCTTTTCTTTTCTTGGTTTTGGAGTTGGATTGTCCAATTTATGTTCGTTCAGTTGGTAAATTCAAGCTACCAATCTGTTGACATTGCATGTTCTTGGGCTTATTTTAGCAGAAAGGCGATTTCCTGCGCGTTTCAGATGGAATAGCATCCAGATATCTTTCAGTTGATGACGGAAAATAAAATGGAAGACACTGTCTTATCACCAATCTCCATGCCCGGCACAGCCCTGGATTCAGCCATGGACATCGACTTCATGGATGAACTGTTGCTAGAAGGATGCTGGATGGAGACTATGAATGGATCTGAATTCCTCCAACAGAGCCCTCCCAGTTTTAGTGCCTTCTTTGACTCTCCATTTCAATGGCCTGCTCTAGAGAATATTGAGTGCAATTCCAGCGCCAACCAGCTTCAAAAGAACAACCAAGAGGATATGCAAACACCATTGCTTCCCGGAGATTCTCCTATGGAAGAAGGCCAAGCAAAACCTCTCGATAATTCTCAGTCTCTGAGTGTTGTTGAGTGTTCTAGTCGGTCAGATAAACATGTCAACGAAGGATCTGACTTAAGAAGAAGATGGTGGATTGGGCCGAGGGTGAGTTCGGGTTCAACAAGTTCTGTGATGGATAGGTTGATCCGTGCTCTTGATCACATTCAAGATTTAACGAAAGATAAGGATGTCCTCATCCAGATATGGGTGCCTGTAAATAGAGGCGATAGACGTTTTCTCACAACCAACGACCAGCCCTTTTCACTTAATCCTAGCAGCAGGAGACTTTCGAAGTACAGGGAAATATCAGTGAATTATCAGTTTTCAGTGGAGGAGGATTCCAAGGAATTGATGGGATTACCCAGTCGCGTATTTTTGGGGAAGGTTCCTGAATGGACTCCCGATGTCCGCTTCTTCAGAAGCGACGAGTATGCCAGGGTTGATCATGCTCAGCATTTCGATGTCCGGGGAACACTTGCCCTTCCTGTCTTTGAACAAGGGAGCAGGACTTGCTTGGGTGTTATTGAAGTTGTGATGACGACCCAGAAAATCCAGTATCGGCCTGAAATTGAAAGCGTTTGCAAGGCACTAGAGGTTTGTCAAATCTTTTTCCTTGCATTGCCTAAATTTTCATTGTGCACTGATTAAATGAAGATCACCAAGGGTCTCTCCTAGTTGCTTTTTGCACAGATTCAAATCCACTGGTTTCATTATGAATTTGAAGAGGCTTTCTCTGATAGCAAAGATCCCTGTTTAGCTACATGAATCCATCGATAGGCATCTTCTATCATGTTTGCTTAGATATTTTTTAACTACGTTGCATGGAGTAATGTTTCATACGCTTATCGAATATGGTTTTTTCTTGGCCAGACAGATAGTGCTATTTGAGATTACAGATCAATTAAAGGAAGCTGCACTCCATTTAGAAAAAGAACTATCTTCTGTCGGTGTCGGGTAGATTCTAATTATAAAACTTGGTATTTTCATTTCTCAAAAGGGAGTTGTGGTTGATAGACTTTGCTGATCTTTACACTAATGGCTATCTAAATTCCAACTGCAGACGTTCTGGACCTTAAAATTCAGTATTCGTTTTGGAAATCTTGGCTTTCATAAGTTGTGAGTCACGAGTTCAGTTTTATATAGTAAAAGAAAAACCAGGATATTCTGTCATTACCTTACCAGTCGATTTCCTTTGAAACAGCAATTTTACTTGGTTTGTGTTTTGATTTGCATCTCATACAAGAATATAAGAGCAAATCCTCTTTTCCACTATTGCCCGGTTTCTTATTCCATTAGTTAGATTGTTCAGAACTATATCCACTTCATGATATTATATTGGTAATCGGAGTCATTCCAGAACTATTGATCTTTTCCTGTTAACCATTTCTTACTGGAATAATTGTTTCCACCTCAGGCTTTTGATCTTAGAAGCTCTGAAGTCTTCGGCAATCACAATGAAGAGGTAATTGGATGATTTCAAACGTAGTAATCTTCTTGATGAGACAATACAGTTTTCTCTTGACACCGTGGTTGAGCACCTTTTGTTCTCTTCCATTCAGTCCCGCTCGAAATCTTATGAAGCCGCAATACCTGAGATTCGTGAAGTCTTAAGATCCGCCTGCGAGACGCACGGATTACCATTAGCCCAGACGTGGGTCCCGTGTAGCCAACAAGGTAAAGGAGGTCGTAGGCACTCCGATGAGAATTATGTTAAGTGCGTTTCTACCATTGACCATGCTTGCCATGTGGCTGATCCTCGCATCCAACCATTTCACGAGGCTTGTTCTGAGCATCACTTGCTAAAAGGTCAGGGGGTTGCTGGGAGGGCGTTTCTAACTAACCAACCATGCTTTTCATCAGACATAACTTCTTTGGGAAAAACTGAATACCCTCTCTCTCACCACGCAAGAATGTTTGGGTTGCGTGCTGCTGTTGCTATCCGTCTAAGGAGCATCCACACTGGTACAGCTGATTTTGTGCTGGAGTTCTTCTTACCTGTGGAGTGTAAGGATCACGACGAACAGAAAAAGATGCTTGGTTCGCTCTCCATCATTATTCAACAGGTTTGTCAGAGTTTGCGGGTCATTACTGAGGAGGAAATCGAGGAGAAAACTGTCTTGCCAGAAATTCCAGTGCCTTCAGAAGGCAGGCCTCAAGGCGAACAGTCACTGAAGGTGGACGGTAATCATTTGGAGAGGTGCTCTGAAGAAGATTCATCCTGGAGCGCTCATGTTGAAAAAGTTCGGCAGAGTGATACAGTTGCCTCAGCGACCCAAAAGGCCAGAGCGGGGGAATTATTGGTTGAGAAATCTCTCGATTTCAGGCAATTTCAAGACTCGAGTACTGAACGTGGTGAAGATTGCTCTTTCTATGGTGAAGGAAACTGCTCCAATGCGGCCAGGGGAAAAACAGGAGATAAGAAACGTACGAAGGCGGAGAAAGCCATCACCTTGCAAGTCCTTCGTCAGTACTTTGCCGGTAGTCTTAAAGATGCTGCAAAAAGTCTTGGTGGTAAGACTGCCACCATATGCTTCATAAGATATGATTTTCTAGGCTTAGAAACTATTTAAGCCCTAGGGACTCACTCTCTTTCTCTCAAGATTTATGTGAATATGATGGGAGACTTTATCAGTTAATTGACTGGGAGTGTTGCTCTGCTCTATGCATTCTCTTCACTGCAAATTACAGTCTTTTTCCGCTTGCACTTAGGAAAAAGATAGATACTATCAACACCATCACTTGATATTCGTGTCTCGTCACTTCCTGAATGAAAATATGAGCATTGTGTTGTTTCCTTTTTCACATGTTTGGGGACTTACTTTTGGCATTTGCACATGTATTAAGTGAGTTTCGACAGAACAATTCACTCATTGAATTGCTTCCGATAGTCGTGAACTCGAGCTATTGGCATTCATGGATATGCATTCCATCCTCTCTTAACATTCAATTTTGCCATTGGCTGATGTTTTTGCCTGCTTTCTCTTTCTGAATTTCAGTTTGCCCCACAACCTTGAAAAGGATATGCAGGCAACATGGGATCAAGCGTTGGCCGTCTCGAAAAATCAAGAAGGTCGGTCACTCCTTACAGAAACTTCAACTTGTAATGGACACTGTCCAAGGTGCGCCGGGTTCTTTGCAAATCGGTTCTTTCTACACAAACTTCCCAGATCTGGCCTCTTCAAACCACGGCGATCATCAGCAACCCCTGAGCATGCAACCTGGAGCCCTGATCTTGGATTCCCAGGCCGATGTGTCGAAGTCGGCGTCATCGTCGTGCAGTCACAGTTCCAGTTCCAGTCAGTGCTGTTCCAGTGGGAGAAAGCAGCATCAGTCCATAGTGGACCTCGTCGCCGAAGGAGATCCTTTAGTTTCAGAAAACAGTGCGAACGTTAGTCCTTTAACAAGGGTCCAAAGTCATGTGGAATTACAAGGCTCGAGCCAGGAAGAGCAAAAGCTACTGACGAGATCCCAGAGCCATAGATCTTTGGACCCCAACATGGAGAATCCGCTGCCGTCACAGAAACACGATTGCCAGGCATCGCGAGAGGGGGATCCTCTGAGAGTAAAAGTGGGGTATGCAGACGAGAATATCCGCTTCCGCTTGCAGAAGCATTGGGATCTAAAGGACTTGTGGGGAGAAATTGCGAGGCGGTTTAGCATAGTGGACACGAGCAAGTTCGACCTCAAGTACTTGGACGACGACTCTGAGTGGGTGCTGCTGACATGCGATGCAGACTTGGACGAGTGCATAGATGTCAGCAGATCATCCCCGGGTAGCACGGTCAAACTCTCGGTCCAAAAGTCCCATCATCATCGTCGTCTAGTAGGGAGTTCTTTGGGCAGCAGTGGCCCTCCACAGATGTGTGATGCTTCCCGAGTCTGCGGTCGAGGTTGCCGCTGCACGGTTTAATATATGCCTGAATGGTTTCAAGAACCTCTTTCCATGTGTATTCGCGAAGATCTCGCGGGAGAAGAATTGTAAAGTTTTGTACTGAGTGGATTGGTACACAGGACAATCAGCTAGAGAAAGAGACTTCTCATTTTGGATGTGCGTGGGAATATTTTAGGACAGACGTTTCAGTGGCATTTCCCGTAAGGGCGTTTTTCTGTTCGTTTCAAATAGTATGTTCTTTCAACTGCCATCATTCTTACATGGGAATGAAAATGAAGTTTTCTCTTCTGGCCACCAAAGAATTAAGGGCGACTATTACAAAAAAAAAAAACTCCAAAATTATGGTAACACAAATACCTCAATTTTTTTTGTGTCACGGAAAAATTCAAACTTATACATGTGTGATATATATATCTTATATTCCAGTTTCATCCGGGTTATATTTGTCACACTGGTATAAGTTCGGGTTTTTTTTATAATTTTTGTGTCACAATGGACAAGTTTAAGGTTTTTAGTGACAAAAAAAGATTTAGAGTATTTATGTCACGGTAAGGTTGAGATTTTTTGTGGTATTAACTCAAGAAAAAAAAAAAGAAATGAGATTTTCTTCCCATCTTTTGACTATTCAAATGGGGGTGGTGATGGAGAGATCAACTTGTCATCTTGATGGTGTTGGCATCATATATTTCTCCCCTCAAATCATCGATCTAGAAAGTACTAGTTTTGGGCAACCTGGAATAAATAATGGCGATTACTCGTTATGCACTATAAGTACTATTGACACCTAAATTTTAACTAACCATTTAATGATTAATTGCATAGAAACTTAGGGATTAAATTTTAGCCCCTGACAAAAATATTAAAGTTAAATTACATAGCATATAGTTTTAAGAGCATAGAAATTGGGCCTACAGTGAACAAACTTAAATGGATAGTTCTGTGCTTAATTAAGTTAATTGAAGTCCGCGTGAGCAAAAGAAATTGGCCAAAAGCCCATGCTATGGCCGAAAGTTTGGTGGATTTGGATGATTCTTCTCCACGGTATGATCATATAAATGAAGAACGAAGGATTTGGGCACAAGATAATAATATTCACATGGAAAAGGGCGTAATATATTGAAATATCTTTCTGAAGCCCAAAATCACTGTGGCTGGAGTTCACCTTTTATTCGAGCGAAAATTGCATTATCTTGTTGAAATCAGAGGCAACAGGGAAATATTACATTTTCGGCCAAATACGAGACTAAGAGGGAGGGAAATTAATTGCATTCTCTAAAGAAAGGAAGGAATGGCGTGCAGGGCACGTATCATCTTTGCACGTAAGGGGGACAAGTGGATGAATAATACAAAGAAGAAAAGAAAATATTTGGCTGAGTTGGTGCTGTGCGGACAAAGGGAATAAAAGGAAGGTAAGAGAAGATATTTAGCACTATCCACAGATAAGAAATATTGAATAAGAGATAATATTGCACGTGGGACGTGTATTTGATCTTATTATTATTAAGCAGTATATCTTTTTGACAATATTTGTTATTCATGAAGAAGGAAGTCGGTAGATGGCTTTTCTTTCATAAAACCATACTTCCTCTTCTAAAATGCAAAGGCAGACAGTATAAAAGCTACCTTTCTATAGACAAGAACGGTGGGGGTTTTGACCATAGAAGACACAGCCAAAAAGGTGAAAGAGAGAGTGAAAGAGAGTCGTCTTCTTCCTCCCAATTCCATGACCAGATAGTGTTGTTGCCATCTGCACCGACAACGCTGCTTTGCTGCTTCGTTCCATCACGAGCTGCCTTTCTTGTCGTGTCGCCGTTGATCCCGTTCGCCGACGCCTCTGCACTACCGTGACCAGCCAATGACTACGTCCAGTCCTAGCCGCTCGATGACGTCTCTGCTCCAGTAATCAGTCGGGAACCCGCTGCTCCGTTCCGCAACAGTTTGAGCCAACGGTGACGAATTTGCTGTGCCGCGAAGCCATTGAGCATCACCCACTTCACCCAAGCTGCTATTCTACACCTTTGCAGCGTTTGCAGCGCTATGTTTCATCGTGTACGGCTCCGGGTGATACTCCACCAAACCCGGGACAAATTCTTTGAATTCCTTGGTAAATTATTTGCAGGTTGACCAGTGAAGTCAACAATTTCGTGTGAACTCCAGCAACATCCAGCAAATTCGCAAGTGTCCTCGCAGTGAAGCCACCATCAAGTCGGCCATCATCCGCCGGTCCTGTTTCGGAAGCGAATCATCCTAACTAGGTCATTTTCTCGAGCCAAATTTGGTCTCCATATTTCATTTACCTAAATTGGGTTATTTGATGCTAATGTGATTTTGATTATTTGATGCTAATGTGATTTTGAGTGATCAGGGCATTATCAAACTAGGATATTACTGCTTATGAAATCAAATCTAATTACTAATTTGAGCCGTGAGACGACGACGGATTATTTTTTCGGATATCGTAATCTTTTATTTGAATCTTGGTGGATATCTTGGGTGATTTGATGTTGTCTCTTCCTACTTTTGTGGATTGGAATTGATTTGTTTCCCGTTAAACAAATACAAAAATTGCTTCTTAGATTTAATAAGATTGTTAGATAACATTGCTTGTTTAAATAGATTGCATATTAGGATAAATTCTAGAATTAGAATAGATTTTAGATATGATTTTCCTTAATAGATAGTTTGTTTTTTAAGATAACGCTTGCATGTTTAATAATATTGCATGTTTTAGATAGTTTTCCAACATGGGATAGGGTGTTGTTCGAATTAATTCCTAAATTAGATTAGATAACTATTCTTTTTTGGCAGCTTAATTAGGATCTTTATTAATTTCGAATTTTAATAAAAATGCCAAAAATATCATATGCATGTCATATAGCTTGCATGTTAGGAAATTGTACCTTAGATAGATTAGACTTTATTTAAAGATAAAAAAAAACCCCAAAAATAATTGTTTGTTTAGTGATGTGTGATTTTCAATGTCTTTCTTGCTATTTGTTGCTTTGCTTTTCCTTGAGTGTTACATTAATGGTTGCACACCCGCATGATCACCTCCTGCATGCATGTTAGTGGATAGCTTAAAATCAATTTAAGCCGCCTGCTAAATATTTTTTTTGAATAAAAGAGAAAAGGTACCGAAATGGCATTAGGTTAATCTAGTATAACCAAGTCCATGAATTCATAATCTCTGATTCGTAGAAGTAAAGTAAAACTCCCGATACTTTATTTGGGTTTTTAATCGACCCACCAAAATTAGATTAGTGGCAATTCCTAATTGAAATGATCTTGCATGTTAAAAACTTGAACTTTAAGACGCGAATTAATATGTGCTTGGGAGAGCCTGGTCTAAATTTAGACTTAGTAATCCATTAGCCAAACCCCTAGATTGTGCACCTGAGGGTAGGTCGCGACAAGTACCGGCATCTCTCGAGGTGTTCTACACTTACATAACCTGGAGTTTTGTTGGTTGTCCTTCGTTCAGGTCAATCTCTCCTTCACGCTTTAAGAAAGCAACGTGGATCCTGCTTCGCTAATTTGACTATTTTGATGTGAGTGACTTGCAATATTTTATGTCCTTCCGTGACTGTCCTGGAAAGAAGCCGACACAGCACTCAAAACATCAGAGGCACTTCAAAATAGACCGTGTTTATGTTTGCATAACCGAATTCGGACCGTGTCTAATCGGTTCCTGCCAACCGTTGGATTCTCCGTGCCGCCTAAGTCCAACGCTTTTCATACAACCGGCTATAAAATCCTCCATGTTGGAAGGGTCCGCTTATATGTGCGCATTACCATGAGGACACTTCTTTCCGACATTCTATTGCAGCAAGAAGTTTTGAACCGGCTGTTTTGTAAACTCGCCGGATACTTTGAAGAGATAGGACAACTGATGACATTACCAGCAAAGGTAAAGAAGGCTTGCCTTGCACAATGCATTAACCGAGACTTTCAAGTACTATCTGCAGGACTATACATTTCTCTGTTCCTTTTCATGTGGGGACATTTTTTCCAACATAATTTACATTTTTGGAAGATATCTGACTTTTCATCGCTAATGATACACCGAAAAACTCAAATGTATTGAAAGAAAAAGAATGACGTAATCGCTGCAAAAAAAAAAAACAAAAAGAGGAGTGGCGGTCGCAGTCAATTGTATCAAGTTCTGAACAGTGATTGAATCGAGGGCCGACCTTCTTGCTTCTCCACAAGCACACATCTAGAAGGTGGACCGAATATGCTCAAAACCACCTGCAAATAGAAGGTGCAGTTGCTCAAGGAAGTTACGCAAGGTTCCTCTTAAGGAGGTAAATACCAGCAGTCATTTCACCTTCCATTGGAAGACATTATAAAGCTCAGATCTGACAGTGTGCAAGAGAAAAAGATAATTTCTGCCTATATGCCGCAACACTAATTAGAAATTTCTAAATGAGGGCATAAATTCCTTGTTCTCCCTAGCAAGCCATATGGATAAGCCCGGCAATCATCAAAAAGGAAGCGGATTTCTAAAGCATTTAAAACCGATGAAAAAAAAAACTCACAGGTAGAAAAACAAGCCCATGCAGGAAACCCAGGAGGACCAGTGCAAGGTACATCTGGAAGTAGTATACCTGTGAAGATGCTAGCTAACATGAGAAAATCCTCCAAAATCTTGACAGATCAGTCATATTGGAAAACTCAACAACATTTACTGACCACGAAAACTTCAGTCCTTGAGAAGCAAAGTACAAGGACCCCAACCAGCTTCGTTAGCGTGATTCCACTGCAGACGAACGTTTCACAACATAAGGTGTAGTGCTTACTTTAAAGCAAACCAAGATTATCTTGTAAACCCATGCCAATGTAGGACTGCAAATTATTCTTCGGTTCAAGAAATAAGTCGTAAGAATTGCCTAAAGCGGGATCAGACACAGGGCCAAGCTATAGATAGAAAGAATGACCTATTTAACAATCTATAGAGGCATCACATATCCAAGAAGTTGCAACTTAAGCATTTCTTCCTCCTTATGCCTCGTCTGTTTTTTTCCTTCTGCTTGGATAAATTCATCTACATTCCAGTATAAGGCTCCAAGCAAGTGAATGAACATTCAGATCCAGTATGTCAATGGTCTTTTCTTTTTCTTTTGCAGTCAGGTTCAGGATTCAGCGAAAGCAGCTTTTGGGGGGAAGGGGGTTGTTGTTTTAAATGTAGGTGGATCCATTTGGAGAGAAAAGAAAGAGAACCTAAAAACAGAAGCTCCCATTGTAACTAGAGCCTCCTTCATGCGTTGGTCTTTATCTCCACTGCTCACCTGCAACATAAGGG